CTGCTTTAGGTTTGTGTGAATTGATGTTTGATTATGTAGTTTGCTACTGCAACGTTTTTTTTCGTGTTGACTTTTATGAAGATTTCGAAAAAGAAATGCTGAATAATTGATCAAGGACGAGTATATGTAATTTTTTCCAACTGGTAAGAAGCGTGTATTAGAGCAATTATGATGAATGTCATAACTGTTAGCTTTTAGCTATCATATGACTGGTTATGGGCGGTATGGGATTTATAGCATTATTTTGATAACTGAAGTTCTCAAGAAAAGTGTGTATTATATGAAAGACGCTGTGTTTTGTATGCTATATGGACTATTATCACCTGTGAACCAGCGATCCTTTAATGGAGAACGAAGCAGCTCGACATAAAACTAGATTATACTGGAACCTTTATAGATTATGAAAATGGTATACATATCTAAAACTCCTAAAGGTTCATCGTGATACCCGTTTTTTTAGTATTGTGGGAAATGTATTAAGGATTCGCGAAGCAGCGGAAATCTTCAATGCATTTTCGGAAAGATCACTGTTGTTGATGGCTTTTTAAGATTTCAGATAAGTTTTCGGAAGCTCGAAAACCCATATTTGGAAACCTATAAAGGATTTTATATAGTGACAAACTCAAAAATCCTCTACAAGATTTCGAGAAAATAGATTGTTTTAAGAATATATTCTGCTAAAAAAATTTCACCTAGCTAATACTCTATTAGTATATTGACACTAAAGAAGAATACAGTCAAGAATGTCCTCGGTAAAATATCCTTGACGAAATTTTCCCGACTTTGCCTCCTCGCAAAAATGTTCCTTAGGAAATGGGCTTTAGTCACATGGTCCTCTTCAAAAGAGGAATGTTTATTTATGAATAAAAACATCAGTATATATATGTTTACAGAACAGAATAGAAATAAAGGTTGTCAAGGTCAGAAACATAGATGATGAAATTATATCAGATGAAACGTATATAACGAAAAAAAGAGCATAACACGAATAGAAAGAAAACAATAGAAAAGTAAAGAGATGATATCGAAAGTGATGTATGTATATAAACGACCTCGATTAAGTCACTATAACAATGTCCTTTCAATAAAAAATGAACTATGCTTGGTAAACATGTTAATAATGGGATTGATTTAATAAGAACGTTTAAAATTTTGTTATATTATTCATTTGCAACAAAAAAAGAAAGTCCATGTAATAATTCCTGTACCGTGATTTGGTTATTGTTAAATCGATCATATAATTCTTTTGTTCGTTGTTCAGTAATTCTGGACTTTAAACGTTTTGTATGAGGACCCATTTCAACATTTATTTGAGTAATTATATCATGGATCGTGTTTACTTCTTTTCGAATTGAATCGATAAAATGCCATATGTTGGTATGGGTTTTTTCTAAACGTCTCTTGAACCTATTATTATATCCTAAAAATATGTGACAATGTTAGTTACAAATTACAACTGATATATTGTTTGTACATACCTTCACTAAAATTATCAGTTTTTTCCGGAATATCAGCAACATTCCACATCGAAATTTGACGCATCCAATAATTCTTGAAATGTTCGAATATAGGAGACAAATCATCACGTTCAGAATCATTTAAATATTTTCCAAGATTATCAAATAATAATGAAATATATTGCTCAGGTACTAATGCTAATGCCATCATTTGACGAATAACACTACGTATCATGATATTATCTAAATAAGCTGATGATAAACCGTGTGATTGAACATTTCTATAAAGACTCTGACAAAAGTGAAAAAAACATCCCTTCTGGATGGTTTTTTCCGAGAACTATAAAAAATACATAAGTTTAATTCAGAAATTTTAGAAACTTCAAAGATAGTTATACCTCGAGACTGATTGCTTTAGCGAGACCAGGCTCAAAGTCAGTCATGATAAGAAGAGGATTCAGCTTTTTGTTGAGTCGTTTTGCCTCATCAAATAATATAGTAAATAAATGTATATACGTTTTTACTTTACGATCAGGTAGCAGTGCATATACTACCGGCACACCTATTGTAACGAAAAATACAAAATTAGTAAAAAAGGAATTTAAGAATTCGAATATTTAATTAATTGGAGATAACTTACATGTACCATGAACAATTGCCTGAATGATAAATACTTGATCAAAGTTTGGTGGTGAACTAGAAAACGTACCATCCATATGGAGTCGTTGACTATCAAATAATAAATTCAATTGAATATCCGATGACCAGATCAAAACTCTTCCTTCAGATCGTAGATCACCTAATGAATCAATTTGGAATTTGGAATCATCACTATCATGTAATAATAATCGTGTATTATTATGATAATCTTTTGTATATGATTCTGGAATAAAAAAAGAAGATGATTGTGGAAGTGAAGGAGTCATTTTACGACGATATTGTATCAAGTTATGACCTGAAACAAACACAAACAAAATGTATATTAGTATGACATAGAAAAATTATCATCATACCAAGATGAATAATATTAGGTAAAACAGCTCGAGCTTCATCTGTCAGTAAAGCCTGGCGTACCTCTTGTTCAGCGATCTGTTGTGCTGGTAATATTTCTTTTTCAGCTCTTTTTCGCATTGCTTCTCTCAGATTTCGTACTTCAGCTTCAGCTGGATTTGGTAAATGTGAATGACGAGTTATTTTTCCTGAATAACGTAAAAATTCATTCCGAAGGGTCGTATGCAAGAGTACACTACAACTTCTTTTTGCACAGCGCCAAAATTTAATACTTTTATCTTTGTTGAAATTTTTAAATTGATAATTAAAACCATCAATAACCAACATTACTTTTCGTTTATTGGATTTTGTTTCAGTAATTGTAGGTTTTACTGAATTAGATTGTGATGATGGAAATTCATTCGATGTTGAAGTGGGTGAGGAGGAAGACGATGTTTCATCAATTATCATTATGTCTTCAGATGTCATTTTAATATTTTGTTTGATTATTTATAAAATTTATTATAAACACCACCGGTGCTAGTTCAATACGTTCTTCATTCGAACTTAATCCACTTACACAGAAACCAATCCTCTATTTACGAATGAAAATCGAATAAAATATGTTTGGACTATAGCATCATCTGTATTCAGGTGATATTATATTCACTTTCAAGAACAGTTGAGAAAAAAGGATATTTTATCGAGGACATTCTTGACTGTTACCCTTTACTATTATGAACAGTAAAATAAACTATTATCGGAATTTTAAAAAAAGGTCATCGGGCAAAATGCTTATAACTTTTGAACGAAGATAGCTAGAGCCCTGCGATTTTCACCATTCGAATGGGGAAACGAGGAGAAGCCTTTTTCTCCAATATTGTACACGACGAAATCATTTCAAAATCAGTCATTTCTACAAAACATCGAAAAAATGTATAAGAAACGGTCTGCCATTCGGATGAAATTTTGACGAAAGATAAGAAAATATGCTTAAAAATTAAAAGAACTCTATAGTTCTCGTGCGATTGAATAGACAAGTTTATTTGTTCAACATTAGGAGGTGGAAAGATAATCATTCGAATTATATCTTGAACTATACATCTGAAGTTTCTCTATCTAGATCAGATGTCAGAACAAAAATTTCATCGGAATGACAGATCGTTTTTATGCATTTTTTCGATGTTTTTTAGAAATGACTGATTTTTAAATGATTTAGTCCTATACAGTATTGAAGGAAAAGGCGTCCCCTTGTCTCCCCTTTCGAATGGTGAAAACCGCAGGGCTCTAGCTATCTTCGTTCAAAAGTTATAAGCATTTTGCTCGACGGCCTTTTTTTAAAATTCTGATAATAGCATTCTTAATATCAATACGAGATCTTTTAGTATGCATTGATTTATCAAATTAAATCTTTTCTTTTATGTAGATTTCTTCGACCAACAAGTTTAACAGTAAGAATCAATGTATAAAATTACATCGTTTTTTAATTTAGATTTATTCGAGGAATACATCTAATCGTAAGAAAATAGCTATGAAATAAAATATTTTTTTTTTGTTTAGATTTATGCGAAAAATATATGTGATGGTAAGAATATGTTTAAAAAATTATTTTATTTTTTTAATTTAGACTTAACAAATAGAAGATCACTATGAAAAAGAAACATAGAATCGTAAACCGGTAAAGAACTTGTGGAACTGCAACGTTTAATGAACCCGGTTTTTACTCTATGTGAAATTTTCATAAACCCTTCTCAATGGATTTATGAAAGGGTTTTTGAAAATTATCACATACAGTAGAACGAGTATATTATGCGTTGAACTTCTATAATTCTTTTAAGGATTTATGTTTCTACTCTTTTTTGTTTTACAGTATAGTTTGACCGGTAAATGCTCTTCCAACTCGTAAATAACGGTCTATCCGTAGACTGATTGACCTAAAACCTGTATCAATATCGGTTCCATCTCTAACCTCAAGCACGACTCTTCCAAAACAAATATATTATGACATGTAACGACAGAAGTAATATCTGAAAATGCTATGCGTTCCCACCTGTTAAGCTTTCGCGGCAATGGAAATGCATCATGAAACCATAGTATGCTCACTAAAAGAAGTTCTAAACAAGAGTGATGCTAGTATTAACTCCAAAAGCAATTTTGAGATCATAGCAGTTATATGGGATTGCCACTTTGGTTTCTATCACATGAAGCATGATAAACTCAAAACTCATCAATGCTATACATCTCACTGAAGGATAAAGCAGTAGATAGGGGTGACTTTTTTATTTCAAAGATTCTTTCACTGAGGTTGCTAACAGCACCAGTAAATGCTTAGGAATATGTTGTTTCTCTTTCTCAAATTGACCAATATATTCCACTTCAATATACATATATGCAAATTTTATTCTACCATTGGCAGAAAACTTTCGATTAACGTAGAAACTAACTTGGCGAATGTAGAAGTAGTTGCATATAACAGAAAACTCTGTAAACAATGCGAACTTTGAAGATATTGAAATGAGTGCCCTATGTGAAGACTTATCGGTCCGTATTCTTTCCATCACGTTCTCATATTGTTTTCTCAAGTGAATAGAGTACTTTCAGGTGACACAAAAATAAAATTACTGAGTGCTTGTAATTGGTCGTTACGACTGAATAATACATAGAACATTTCTAGAAGTTAAGTCACTTTAAAGATTATGCCCGCCCTGAAGATTTTCTGACCTGTTTATCTTTTCACACACTTATTGGCGTTGGCGATGATATACTCCAGCGCTAAACGAAGACTAAAATGTCCTTTCTAGTTTAATTGACTTAGATCATCTACCGAGATAACAGTAGATTTTCGGTTCGAATTTTCGAAGTAGGACCTCTTTTTCTTCATTCTGTCAATTTATATATTTTCTTATATCGAAACTCTTTATGACTCACACATGATATCTACATATATCTCAGTTGATTTTTATTGTTTCAGAACGAATTTTTTTTTCCAAAAACATTCAGCATTCAAATCTCTATAAAGCCTTACAGAAATGGTCAATGTAGATATAAAAGGAAAAACTTATCCTAGTAATATTACAAAAGCCTATCAGTAATAACTTTCTAGATGCTTTCATTGATATAGGTTCGCGTTTTTAGCTAATACTGAAGCAGCATGTAAAAGATTCTACGTAGAAAATTTATTTTTCAAAAACCTAGTTCGTGTGTTGCATGTTTTCTCTTACTGTGAATACATAAACTATTCGAAGTAGAACCGTTTTAGAATGCATCTAACCTTGGATAACATCATTTAGTGGCATTTTCACAAACCAAAACCTTGCTCCTGGAAAAACTACAGTAAGTAACCTGTATTTTTCCAAAAACTGAAAAAATACGGTAAAAAAAAGAAATCTTTTCGAAAATTCATAAAAACTAACATGTATGTAACTCTATAAGCTTGTGATCGAAGAGTCCTGATGTACATTCACAGAGTACAGATTTTAAAATTCAACAAGAATGTTTGTTTAATTTGCTGCTACAGTATGAAACAAGAGCATAAAACTATAAATGAGTTCTATTAATTCATAAAAATTGTTGACATCCCATATTCACAGTATTCTTATGCCAGTTTCGTTACTTTTCTATCTATAGCTATTACGTTCTAAGATTTTAAAAACTATTTAATGCTGACTTTGTTGCGAAAATTTCGTTCGACATTGTGATAATCTAAAGAGATATAAAGTAAAAAGCTAGGCGATCATTAATGCTAAGACCCCTTTATTTCCTAGTGTTATGAGTGTGGTATCGAATCATAGGAAAATAAAATTGTTTTACAACTGTGATTGCTCGCCGTGACTGAAAAATACGCAATAAAATTTCAGAACTAGAGATATTTTAACAAAATCGTCCTTTCTCCAGACATGCGTGCTCATTTGTGGAACTCACATCTATTTTCGAAGAAAGTAGTGAGTGTAAGTTTTGAGTTGAAGTTTTCCAGCTTCCCATCTCCACTCTCCATTAGAGACCTTAGCAACCGAAGTTCAAGGTCATTGCGTATGGTTTTTTTTGTATGAAATATGTGAGTTCCACATTTCAGTCCCAATGAGATTGCAATAACAAGCTTTTCTTTCCCTGAAAAATCTCTTATTATTTTTAGCTTCATCATAAGATTTCGAATAACAGAAATACCAAATAACTCTATTATCCCATATCTCCATTGTAACTTGAGAATTCTCTTGATAATCCTAACCACAGAGATATTTTTTCGGTAGAATGCGATTCTTTCAAGACCTTTCGGCTCGAATTTTATCGACATCAGAAAAATAGTCATTATGTACTTAAAACTATCCACTATGGAGACATTATCCTGAACATATTCATTGTCAAAAACTCTGTTGAAGATAATTCTTTCCACGAAAATTTTCTGAAGCACTTGTTTTCTGTACAGCATTGTATCTAATTTTCAGCAAGGTCAAACCTTTTTGAATGGTAAAATAATACAATATCAAAGAGTTTTTTTCTACGGTGAAACTCACAAAATCTATTGATAATTCTTGCTTCCGACGTTCGATGAGCAGAGTGACGGTTACAATAATTAATATCTGCTATTCATTTCATACAAAACTTCCCAGGTTTTTTGTCGACTGAAAAATAACTACTATGATACGAAAACAATACTACACAAGCTTAGTCGTACTGTTAAAGGATAGAAAAATTCACTCGATACTGATAATGAAAAAAAAGTCTTCTGAGAAGAATACAATTTTAAAAAACTTATGTTTGCTCACTGTATTATTGCGAAATCGTCTGTACTGACGAGCAGAATAATGGTGTGATGAATCGAAGTTATTCGATGCAAGAAAGTGAAAACATTATGTTGCTTGTACAGGCATCGAAAAAATAAGCTTGGCTTGTGTGCATTCATCCATATACGTAAAATAAAACACAATCATATATTATTTATATATCTTGTTTTTTCATAGGCATATTATCACTGTTTTGCTTATTCTCTAATTCACCGTTCGAACAGCTTCATTGACGCCGACAGAGAGAGCGAGAGAGTAAATCAAAGGTTAAAAATAATGTGCACTATACCAAGCTTTATTTATTTTTTCTCTCATTATTGTATGAGATAGATCAAATATTAAGGTTCACAAACGATAGTATGCTACTCAATACCGTTGATCCTGGTAGAACCAAGCTTCAAACGGTTTTTCTACATATAAGTGGGGACAATCATTTTTGATACTACTTGTGCAAAAACAAATTTAACAAGAAAATCAACATATACATGATTTTCATCGATTTAAAGCGCAGATCATTGATGAAAATCCAGAAATTATACTTTTTCTAGATTAAATGGAAGATTATAATCGATTATTTCTTGTGATAGACCGTAAGACGTAAGAAGCGATGTATCTTCATTTTCTTTTCGTTGGAAGTCATGACGGAACAGAAAAAAAAATAATCGTGATAAGGATGTATATAGATGTAAAAGAAACGACAGAACGGAAGTAAAATCTTAAAATTAAAGTTACAATAAGTGTAAGATGTTTCTTACGTGTTACGATGCATTGTGAGTATAAAAGCAAAATGAAATAAACGATTATATAATATAGATTGAGATATAATATGTTTCGAACCTATGGAATAACCAAAAATGATAGTAATTAACTATTTGGTGTGAATATCTTGAGGATACAACTATATTTTTAATTTCATAAATTTATTTTACCACAAATTCAAATAGTACAAGAATAATAAATAATAACAAAAAATATGAATATTCAGATAAATATTATATCAGACAATAAACAAATCGTTTTTAACTGTTTTTATTCAAGAACAATAAAATATTAGCATTATCATGGGTGTCAATTTTGAGCGCCTATCTGAAGTTAAATGACCTGTTGCTGAAAACATTCTCTCTGATGACACACACTTGTTCGAGATATATACAAATATTTAAAAGTTAATTGTGATAATATGAGATGTTTTGTTTTACTAGCATGCCATCATTCAAGAGGATTTGCATTTCGATATATTTCTCGTTCATTCTCATACATCAACAACTCAGACTTTCGATTATTAGATGATGGAATGTTTCGATTTGTTATCATTATATCAAATAAATCAAATTCTTTTTCTTTTTCTTCGTGTTGTTGAATATTGAACGATGAAGTAACTAAATTGTTTTCAAGCAAACTATTATATTGTTCTTGTAAATATAAATATGCAAGTGGTTTTGCTTCAAATGCCTGCAATTTATTTAATAATGATAATCTTTCAACATAATTCTTATAAGCTGAACGTTGAAAACTTTTCCAATGTGGATATAATACTGTACATAATAGTACCTAAAAAAAAACTTTATCATATAATGTTTATCTGTTTATTTCTCTACATACTAATTTATTATTGTATATTTTTTTGAACTGTTCCTCAATACTACCATGAAATATGTTTTATTTTCTTTAAAAAAGAAGAATCAGTAGATCGATCTTCGAGACTTGTAATTAAAATTGTAAGAACAGATAAAATAATTGATAATGTTGGTGAAGAATCAGATGATAGTTTTCGTGTAGCTGCTCCAAAATGTTCTAATATAACCTAAAATTCAACAAAAAATTTATATAGTTTACATTTCAATAGCATCTTACCATTAATTGTTCTAAAACATCTTACTCTATTACTTTCGAAAATTTAGCATTGATTAGATGTTTTTGAAACAGGTTTTCATTTAAACATGCTGTCACACAAATTTGTTTCTTGAATAAACCTTTGGAGCATATAGAAAGTACTTTTCTACCAAGTTATAACATCAATAACCAATTAACATTTAATATAATTTACAATGATTCAATTTCGTAACTGTTAAAAAACAAAATAAAATCTCAGTTTCTTTTTTTAACCAAACGATCCTTGCTATTTATTTAATATTTCATTTGCTAAATGATCATCTCTAGTACATAAGACGATGTATCAAATTATCGAAAATATATTTTTCATTTCATCTTGCCTTTCGAACAATAACATTAGTAGATAAATTAATAAGATGATCGACACAGCCAATCCATTCTATATATAAATCAATAACTATTACAAGTCTAAAATTATAAGTAAAATCAAATTATTTCCAAATTCAATTCCTACTTTTCTCATAGTAGGATAAGTATCAAATGCTAAACAAATGATTTTCTCACCGATTGACCCTGTACTACGAGTATTTTCTAATTGTTCTACAATAAATTCAATTGTATGATTTCCTATAAGTTCTCTTCTTACTAATACAACATTTTTTATTTTATTATTCTTCAAATCAATAAAATGTGCTATAATTGTCATATAAGCTTGATTAGCTTGAGAAGTCCAAATATCTGTTGTTAAACAGATATCTGAAACATTAGAAAAAGACAATCTGTAGGTTATCTTAAATATAGAATGTATTACTGGGTGCTTGTTGTAATTCTTCATAAACTTTCTGTTGAACCTCATTATACATTTCCTCAAAAAATTTATTAGTAAAATAGTTTCATTTTGAAATAACATAAGATAGTTCAGCTAGCTTCTTCAAGAATTACTTGTAGATGAGGACTTTTAACTATTGATAAAGGAAGAAAGTTGTAAATGATTAGATTAGCAACTAATTTAGTTAAATGAATAGATCAATCACTTGTTCATGATAATCTTGATATTGAATCAATTGTTCATATTTTTGATTTCATGACTTTATTTAAATACTGATATTGGAAATTGTGTTGTGATTGTATGTGTACCTAGAAGTAAAAAAGAAAGTCTTTGTAGATTACGATCGGAAAACTATTTATAAGCTTTCTAGAGTTTTAAAAAATACATTGTTTGATTAACTTGAATGGTTCTTTATGTTAGTGATACAGTTGATGATGTAAAGTATGGAATCCAATCATTTCTTATCTCATATTAAAAGAGTTATCCTATAAAATGTTTGTCATGTTTATAGATAAGACTTTAAATTTTATCTACTCAACATGTCATTATGTTGAAAAGTGGCGTGAGAACAGATGGATCATCGGCGTAGAATGTTATAATTCATTTAGTTTTTACTTTTTGAGACAAAAATCGAAGATAAGCGTGATCAGAATGTAATGTTTATCTTAAAATAATGTCCATTTCAGAGTTAAATCGATGTAGACATTTTTTAAATAACTTTAAAACAAAAAGAGAGAAATGACTTGGGTCTTCAATATCATCTAAAGTCGACATTACTGCATCTTTTAATAAAGTCCACGAAAAAATCTAGTTGCTTTTCTTCTGAGATACAGCATCAGTTTTAAATATGATCTGAATCCGCTTTGAAAATAGTATGTTTTCTAAACAATAATATAATAAATAGATAACTTAGCTCTGCCTCTATCGATCACCACAAACCCGAGATTAATAGTTATTTCTCTTCAAACGATATAAAGAATTTATTGGATATTAATCATCAAAATTTTTCAAAATCTAAGCAGTTAACAAATATCTTCTTATATAAATTTTTAGCCGTCTTCCATGTCATTACATGATTCATTTATCTTTGGAGTTTGTTTTCCCATTAAGAACATCACTTCAGAATCCATACATTCAGTTTATTTTATGATAAGGAATTGATATTTCAGGAGATTCTTTCCAATCTTTATCTTATTAATGCTTTTTTCCCAGAAAGATTGGAAAGTTGAATCAATCGATCAAAAAGAAATTCGAAGATATTAACGTAAATTCATCATAGAAAGTCATCAATCATCAGTATCATCTGTACTATAAGTACTATTATTACCATCATTATGATCATCAAGTTCTTCTCAATCTATTCGACATAAATGTTTGTTCTTTTAAATGTTGTCTCATATTGTTTGACATAATTGATGTAACTAATTGCTTCCATCGTATTCAAACCATATATACTCGACATTATACTATTTAATCTACAGCAACATTTTAAAAATCAGGTTATAGATAGATATGTCTTGATAATCCACTCCTATCATAGAATTTCACCAAGATTGTCTAAAATTGTGTTTTCTGCATTCGTTTTTCGTTGCTCTAAGTTGCTCTCTCGTTATCTATTTAAGATATATGTAGATTTTGTAGTATTGATTCATAGCAAGACAAAATTCAATACACACACATATTAAGATAATACAAACTGATTCAAAAATAACTTGACTCAAAAGAAAATAATGGTTTGATTCATGTACAGTGAGTTGCAACACTTGTGCAACAGAATTATGTTTACGAGAGGAAGGTCTCCAAGTGATTCATCGCTTGTAAGTCGAGACTAAATGCATTATGTAGGTCATAATGAGTTATAAATATCCTGGAAAGAGTTCGGGCCCATAGATTATTGCTGCTGAGATACTACATTTTTACGGTGTTTTCTAAGCACAGTGACATGGTCACTTTGAGGAATATCAGAAAAGCTGAGTCTGGAATTTCGACTTGAAATTTAGGGGTAGGTCATTTAATTTAAAATTAAGTTTAAAGTTATCACTTAACATTTAATATCAAAATTAAATTTTTCTATTTATCATCTTACTGAATTTTTGGACCAATTTTGATGTATTTACAGAAGAAACAAAAAGCAGAATTTTGATGTGAAATTGAGCTCATAGATAGGACTAATGATTCCTAGTGTAGCCTGAAAGTTTCAGCAAAAAAGAATATTCTTCTATCGAGATATTGTATTTTCCAAAAGCGGTCGTTTGTGACAGATTTCCTACAAAGATCGAGTATACTTGAAAATTCAATATCTCGACGGAAGAACATTCTTTTTGGCTGAAACTTTCAGAATATTCTCAGAGTCATCAGACAATTCCATTACTTGATATTTCGATAAGTATCTAAAGCTGAATCGAAAAGCTCCAGAGATCCATGAACATGAATCTTTATAAGCTTTTCCTAATCTTATCCAAAACTTCCTTGTGAACTCAAACTACGGGTTCCACTTTTGGTAGCTCCCTCGTTAGAGAGTTCTGTTTTTGTCTATTAAAGGGCATTTTGGAAAAGTTCAATCAGGTTTGATATGAACACCACCATTACCTGTTCGATCACGAATATTTTCTGAGACCACCATCATTGTCTTGCAAAATATTTCTTGGTGGTATTTCACATGATCTTAATCCTCGTAAGTGTGTTTTTTTTATATTAAAGTTTTTGTTTTTGTATTAAAATTTAAATGAAAGATTTACAAGAATGTTTAGGAAGTTTTGGATAAATTCGACTAGAATGGCTCAATATGGATAATATGTCCATACATAGACATTCTTCAAATAGTATGAGAAATTTTTATTTTGAATAATTTTTTAAATTGAAAGTTTCTTTTAAATTAGTTACGACTGGTATTGCTTATGCTATTTATGAAAATGAAGAATTCATTCATCATATTTTACATATATGTTCAACAAAAACTGATCGATCGTTAGATGTGAATATTATCTTGATGTTGATAGTCAACAAATAACTTCACAAAGAAAAAGCATAGGAAAATATTTTCTTTAGCAATACAAAATAAAATTTTCTTTTTCTAAATTCGAATTATTCCGTAGTCTGTAGTAAGTATTCTATATGAAAATTAAATTTAAAGAATATCTTTTTTATCATTTAGGAAGATTCACAATGGTTATCGGAAAGTGATAGCTATGAAAGTTGGGAACAACGACTTCGTTCTACTGAATATATTAGTTGGTGTGGGCGCGGGTGTAGGTGTTATTCTCTTGTATTCGACCTAATACCCACCCACATCCTCTGTTTAGCATGCTTTTATTAATATCGAGATTTTTCTTTGTAATAAAAATTAATAGACATCACAAAATAATGATTATCCACGATTTTGAGACATACTACTCAATGTATTGAATACTAATCTAAAACTATAATATCTATTGAAAAAGGTTATTTGAATGCAGTATCAACTATAATCTAATATCCAAAGGTGTAGGAGGCTTTCTTCATCAGTGGGTACAAAATAAAGAAAAAAACGGTCGGTCAAAGTATGGATGCAGAGGATGAGGGTGACGATTGACAGAAAACTGTCACTCTCACCCTCACCCACTTACACCCATTTAATGCTTTCTTACCGGTTGGCTGCGGTTACTGGTTGGCCGATTATTGTTACTGTTATATTCTTAGTCTGAGCCGAATGAATATGTACTCGAAACGTAATATATTATAAAGAATAACGCATAGATCTACTTCTCGATAAGGATTGTATGAAACAAATTCCACCGATCGATAGAGGATGAAATATTTTCAGTTTGTGAAGAAAATCTTTCAAAACGATAAAAGTTTTACCGGTAGATCTTTTTATTTCTTGTATACAAAAGCAATTGTTCCTACTTATTTTAATTATTTGTTCAGCAGAAGATTTTATGTATTTCGAACTTATTTCATCATATAATCTCCACCCGGAAACACAGATCATAGTTGTTTCTTTGGTGAACCTGAATAATGTCGAAAGAAAAATGTCCAAAGAAAAATGTCGTAAGAAGAAATGCCAAAAGGAAAGATAACAGTATTTTTCTTCGACATTATTCAGATGAATCATTTCTTCTCTTTATCAAGTGAAACAAGTGTCGATTTATGATCTTTTACTATATATCTTTTATTTGTTAAATACCAAACAAAAGGATAAGTCATTTTGTCTTGTTCGTGATTTCATCGGTATATGGCTTGCATTTTGCAAAATTTTTATTTTTTTCTTCTGATTATTCCATGTATATGGTCATCTATGTTACCGGATTATGTTTCACATCTGACCTCTTTGAACAAACATTCTAAAACGGAATTCTCCATATTCAATGCTGTAAAACAAGAATATTCATGGAAAAAACTTCGAACCAGCACATATGGCTTACCCAGATGCTCACAGCAACAAAATCAGTGTCGTCAAATCGGTATTATAGGAGCAGGTGAGTCTTATCTCTTTGATAGGCTATAGTTTTGAAATGTTTTCTGGAACTCATATGGTAGCTATTCTAAAGAGAAAATCGGGATGTATTTATGCATATGAGAATCGGTAGTCTAGATATGGTTAGCGTTTATTAGTTTTCAGTAGATATTTCCGAAAGAAAACGAAGAATTTCATAATTTTTGGTCGCTGATCTAAAGGGATGTTTTCAACAGACAACCCTCAAGATTTTTAACATCTTCTAAATCAGTACAGATGTCGTCGATCAGCTCCCTGTTGTATTGACGTTTTCAGTTGTTCTTTTTTAGGCGACCTGGACTCCACCATGTATTTAGGTCTGTCCAAAAGTTCCGCGATTGTTAAAAAAAAATATAAAGGTAAGGAGATATTTTCAATTTTATTTCATCAAATGTTCACGATGGTTGTGATGATTATTTATAGCAAGTTTAGTCCTTTCCAATAGTTCATTAAAAGTTTCTTTTGAACTCTTTTTCGAAAAAATTAAATTATTAGAAAGGATTGAACTTGCTATAAATAATCATAACAACTATCGTGAACATTTGATGAAATAAAATTAAAAATATCTCCTTATTTTTATATATTTTTAGCAATCTGAGAACTTTTGGGCAGACCTACATAAGCTGTTCACATTCTCATAATATATAACGCTTGAGTTTTATCTTTTCATTTCTTTCATCGAAATAAAATTGCTTACTCTTCATAACCAATATAAAAAATACGGGATCGTATACACTCATAAAACGTTCGAATGTTATATATACTTGACAAATACGATCATTTTTTTCACATTATCTCTGCCTCAATACTTGCATCGAGATTGAGATCATAAATGATTGTCTTTTATTACTTGCACTCCACTTTAGTAGTCACAATCGGGAGAAAAATATAGGACATATATGTCGAAGAAAGTACCAATAGGTTTGTTGGAAATCATGGGAAAAGAATATAGGAAATAAAAAGATGTTTACATATCGAAAAGTCTAACCGTGCAAGTGTCAAATTGCCAAAGAAAAAATATTGGTCACATCAAGGTTACTTCCCTTTAAGATATAGGCAACAATGAATTTTCGCTTTCATACGAAAGATTAGAGCAAACAGAAGAATAAAAAAGAATATTCATGAATTCAAAAAAATACAAGCATTTTGATATTTGTCAAAAAATAGATTAAACTCGCCTTCATTAGAAACAGATAAAAATACGAATTTCATAGTTTCATCGATGGCATTTGATAAATTAACTTTTCATTGAAGGAAATGATCGATTTATATTAGTATTCACAATTAGCCAATGCTCAAAATATGATATTTAAGGTGAATTAAATCGATTATAAGAACAAGAATAGTTTTCGCATTTTTTGTGATTTTATTGTTGGTTTTTTATTTACTGGTAGGTGCTGCTGGATTGTATTGTGGCATTCTTCTGGCTGAAGCAGGTCATACAGTGACTATTTTTGAGGCAAATAATCGAGCTGGTGGTCGAGTTTTTACTTATCGTGATCCCAAAAATCCATCTAAATATATAGGAGACATGGGAGCTATGCGTTTTTCACTCGATGCTCAGCCATATTTGAATCATTTGGTTCGACAACGGTATAAATTGAATATTACCGAAATTATTAGTTCCAATGACAATGCTTTTAAATATATTAATGGAATTTTTGCTACACACAAACAAGCACGTGAAAATCCAGATATATTTCAATTTAATACCAGTCAAAACGAACGAGGAAAAGTGAGAAGACACTTGTATTTATACATAAACAATATTTATAAGAGAAATTTTGCAGACTTCTGATCAACTATTTTCCGAAGCTGTTAAACCTATTCAGCAAACACTCTTAGAAGAAGGTTGGTCATCAATTCAAAATAAATGGGATTCATATTCGATCGAATCCTATTTGCACAAGATGAATCTATCACGTGCAGCTATTGATTATATAGCTATTGCAAGCAATTATGAATCGAATAGTTTTACAGCGATTTTGGAACGAATTGAAGGTAGGACAAAGAACTCTTCTAGTTCTAGATCGTATCGAATTTCAAATGGAAGTGATTTGTTAATACAATCAATGGTTAATGATTGTCAAACAATGAAATCAAATCGATGTTCCATTCACATTTCAACTCCTGTAATTAAAGTAGAATTATTACCATCGAATAGAATTAGATTGACAACAAACATTAGTAATAATCAAATTTTCGATACAGTGGTTGTAGCAACAACACCAACTGTTACTCATTTCATTGAGTTTGAGCCACGAATAGATTTTGTTCAAAAATATTTAGCTATGCGTCAAGTAAATTATATTTGTGCATCAAAAATTTACCTCTTTTTCAATACATCCTGGTGGTACACGCAAGAAAATATCAATGGAGGTTCATCGGATACTGATTTGCCCATTCGTAATATTAATTATCCAACTATGACAAATAATCAAACAGATGGTGGAGCTATCCTTGCTTCCTATACATTTTCCAAAGATTCAATAGCATGGCAATCTCTGTCCGAATCAGATGCCATCGAATTAGCATTAAGACAATTGATTCAACTTCATAGAAATTCATCAAACATGCGGAACTATTTTCAAGGTGGCAAAGCCAAACATTGGTGTGAAGATCCTTATGAACGTGGTGCTATGACTCTGTTTACTCCATTTCAATACACGGAACTTTTTGATAAATTACAAGCATCAGTTTCGAATGTCCATTTTATTGGCGAACATACGAGCTCATTGCATCTAGTGGTGGAGGGTGCTCTTTCGTCAGCGATACGAGCAGCTATGTCTATTACAACAGAAACCGAAGTAACCACCAGTGCTACCACCTCTATTACAACAGAAACCAAAGCAACCAGCGCTGCAACATTCTCTGCTTCTAGCACAAAATTTCCTCTTTCTGAAGATTCTTCTGCTTTTTTTCTGTCCTTTCTGCTGTGTCTATTTTTTCCAATCTTCTTAGATTCCTAGCTCCTTACTCTGAAAATGATGAAGCAAACTGCTATTAATAATTGCTAATGTACGGTCCTTTAGGACCGCAAGAGTCATAGAGATAACAATTGCGAATAAAAAATAAAATAAAATAATTGCTAATATATGGTTTTAGCTTTATTCTTTTTTTCCAAATGGAAGGGATTTCGATGTATTCCACTGCTAAAATATTCAAATATTGTTTGAAAAATGTGTTGGATTTAGCATTTATCAATTTTTCTTTCGCAGATTCAATATTAAATTAATTGAATTCGATCGATAGTGTATAAGCAATCAACACTACTTTCATATAAACCACATGTATAAGAACCGAAGACTTCTTTTCTCATGTTAGCACAAATTATAATAGTACAACTTAACGTTAGAAATTGAGATCTAGCCAATAATGGTTGTAGTCATTAACTTCATCCCAGAGATATCCATCGCAACTGGAAATCTGTCGCTGTTAATCAAACAGATTTTCATCGCTACTGGAAAGGTATTCGAACAATATCTCGAAAAATTCTGCAGAAATCCATGTAATCCTGCAAGATTTTCAAAAAACTGTTCTGGCTGCTGCAGCAGTATTTCTAAAGCCTGCTGCGTCGCAGTGATTACGTAAAAGAATCTGCTGCTACTGTGTCCTAACGGGTATATCTGCTGTATTTTTAAACTTCATTTCATCAATTTTCTAATTGATGAAAAAAAGATGTGTAAAATGGTATTGAATTACGATTATATCAATACGACGAATATTGAACTAAGATTTATTGAGACTTATGAAAGTAGATGAACAAAATATAGTTCACAAGAAAATATGTCATACAGTTGTGTTTATCTGTGTAAATAATTTTAAAAGATTGTAGTCTTGTAGGAAAGGACGGGTAACGTTTTCCTGGGATTTTGGCCCACTGTAAAAATAAAGGCTGCTCCGAGTAAAACCTTCAGCAAATACTCAGCTATATACCAGTAGCCACCACACAAAATTTCAACTTGACCCGTTGAACTTCTCCTTTATTTTCACCACGCCCTAAATGTGCATATAAATATCCTATAGGGATTATCTTGTGGGCCCTCGTTCTCGACTATACGATTCAAAACCGGAGCCATTTTTTTAGGGTCACTAGGAATTACTGAGGGTTACAATATTGCAAGGACATGGGGTCCAGAAAAATCTGTCTTCGTATCTATTTGAAGTACACAGTGCCAAAAATCCA